ACCCAAACACACAAAAATAGTAAAACTGGCTAGACTCTACAGGTACTCCTTTCATCTCTTTTTTTTCTCTCATTTTTAAATGAAAGTTCTAAAATTGCTGTCCCAATTTTCCTAGCTATTTCTTAACCTACCTGAATATAGACTTCTCACCTTCCCTTTCTTCCCCTCAGAACTCCGTTAAATCTTTTCTTGCTAAGGTCTTCTGCCAAAGACATTCATGATGCTAAATATACCAGACCATTTCCAATCTTTTTTTAGCCTGACCACTTGGCAGCATTTGGCATTGCTAACCACATTTTCTCTCTCTTTTTTTTTTGAGACGGAATTCTGCTCTTGTTGCCCAGGCTGGAGTGCAATGGCGCCATCTCAGCTCACTGAACCTCCGCCTCCCGGTTTCAAGCGATTCTCCTGCCTCAACCTCCAGAGTAACTGGGATTACAAGTGCCTGTCACCACCACACATGGCTAATTTTGTATTTTTAGTAAAGATGGGGTTTCTCCATGTTGGTCAGGCTGGTCTCGAACTCCTGGCCTCAGGTGATCCTTGGCCTCCCAAAGTGCTGGGATTACAGGCATGAGCCACTGCACCTGGCCCACACCCTCTGTTTTGAAACACTCTCCTTTCATGGCCTTATTGATGTCATACTCTTCCAGTTTTCCATCTTTCTTCAGCTGCAGTACTCAGTCCTTTCAGCTTCTTCCTTTTCAACTCAATCCATAAACATTGATCCTTTTTAGGTAAAAAGTCTTACACTCTCTTCTATTCTGACCCTATAGAATAGGAGTCCCAAACTCAAATGCCTTTAGGCACTAAGCAAATAAGGAAAATGAATTAAGATAGCTGAGTCCAAAACATTAGAAACTGGTGGGGATTGTAGTGAACTGGACAGCTCAAATCCTATATAGAAAAAGGTTCTCCATTTGGTTAAATTAAATTGCTGTAAAAGAAGAGCGGCCCTATATACTGGAATTTCCAAAAAGCCCATTTTTTTGTATAATTTCTTCATCTTAAGAAACACCATGGCCAGGCACGGTGGCTCACGCCTGTAATCCCAGCACTTTGAGAGGCGGAGGCAGGTGGATCACCTGAGGTCAGAAGTTCGAGACCAGCCTGGCCAACATGGCAAAACTCTATCTCTACTACAAATACAAAAAATTAGCCAGGCAGTGGTGGCGGACTGTGTGAATAGTAACGATTATGATACTATTTAATTTAACTTATGTGTTATTTATTTATTTATTTGAGATGGAGTCTCGCTCTTTCACCCAGGCTGCAGTGCAGTGGTGTGATCTCGGCTCATTGCAAGCTCTGCCTCCCGGGTTCATGCCATTCTCCTGCCTCAGCCTCCCAAGTAGCTGGGACCACAGGAGCCCGCCACCACGCCTGGCTAATTTTTTTTTAGTATTTTTAGTAGAGACAGGGTTTCACCGTGTTAGCCAGGATGGTCTCGATCTCCTGACCTCGTGATCCACCTGTCTCGGCCTCCCAAAGTGCTGGGATTACAGGCGTGAGCCACCGCGCCCAGCCTATTTTTTTTTTTTTCTTGAGACGGAGTCCGGTTCTGTGACTCAGGCTGGAGTGCAGTGGCACGGTCTCGGCTCACTACAATCTCCGCCTCCCAAGTTCAAGTGATTCTCTTGCTCAGCCTCCCGAGTAGCTGGGATTACAGGCGCATGCCACCACACCCACCTAATTTTTGTATTTTTAGTAGAGACGGGGTTTCACCATGTTGGTCAAGCTGGTCTCAAACTCCTGATCTCGTGATCCACCCACCTCGGACTCCCAAAGTGCTGGGATTACAGGCATAAGCCACCACGCCCAGCTGATGATATTTTAAAACACCAATTCAATCTATAAGCTGCTAGTCTATCACCCCTGCAGACTCTCTTTAAACAATCCCATCTATTCTTAACACTTCAATATTCCTTCTATGCTGTAAACTTGCAAATCTCTATCTCTAACGTTAGTCTTCTTCCCTAAACTATATGTAGGCCCATATATCCAAGGGCTTCTAACGTCATCTCCTTATAATAACACCTCTCGTTCCATCCTCTCTCCCCATCCAGCTCCGCCAGTTGTATTTCCTAGTTTGGTAGATGGTACCAACAATCTACAGGCTCAAGCCAGAAATCCAGGAGCCATCTTTGACTATTCCTTCTCCCTTGTCACCAATATATCCAGCAATATTTATTTAGTATCTATGGCATGCTTTATAGCCAATGTTGGTTCTATCTCTAGTTTTTTTTTTTTTTTTTTTGAGACAGGGTCTCACTCTGTTGCCCAGCCTGGAGTGAAGTGGCACCATCTCAGCTCACTGCAGCCTCAACTTCCCTAAGCTCAAGCAATCCTCCCACCCCAGCCTTCTAAGTAGCTGGAACAACAGGTGCACACCATCACTAATTTTTTTGTATTTTGTAGAGACGATGTTTCACCATGTCACCCAGGCTGGTCTTGAACGCCTGGGCTCCAGCGATCCTCCCCGACTGGGCCTCCCAAAGTGCTGGAATTACAGGCCTGAACCACTGCGCCCAGCCTATCTCTAGATTCTGACCAGCTCTCTAGTTCCATTTTCCCCCATGGTTTCATCTACATTACTAACAGTCTCCCAATTGATCTCTACTCCTAGCAGCTTTTCCCATTTAATCTGTTCTCCACACTAAGGCTAGAATTATCTCTTTAAAAAGCAAACATTAGGATGTCACCATACGTCAAGGCTTCCCCTTGCAAAAAGAAAATCTAACATCTTCAACACTGTTTATAAGGCACCCTTGTGCGTCCAGCAACATTCTTTCAGTTTCCTGAATGCTATAATCCTGGTGCCTTTGCATGTGCTATACTTTTGGCTAAGAACACTTAGACTTCACATCACTTAAAAACATTTTTTTGTTTTAATACAGATGGGGTCTCGCTATGTGCCCAGGCTGGCCTCAAACTTCTGGGCTCAACAACTCCTCCCCAACTCCGCCTCCCAAAATGCTGGGATTACAAGCATGAGCCACCGCACCCGCCCATATCTCTTCTTACAGGTCAACTGGCTTTCCTTGACACCCAGTTACTTTGTTCTTCAGGTGTTGCAAAACTCATCAGTAAGCACCTAGGCAATTAGTGTTCAAAATATCTATGGACTCTACGACTTAAGATTCAGAAAGGCAGAAACCACATGTACCTTGTTCACAGCTCGATTTCTCAGTGCCTAGTACTAGGATTCTCAATACATGTCTGTTGAAATAATGATTACATTTTTAGCATATAGCTATTTGAGTTCCTCCCTAATCCCAATTCTCAAGTTCTTTGAGAGAGAAAAAAATAAATCTCAATTATAGAATTATCCTCAAAATTTATTTATATATATTTCTTTGGAGGAATGAAGGAAGCAGTCACATGCAGCTGACTGTGGGTCACTGGACTTTTTTTTTTTTTTTTTTTTAGACGGAGTCTCGCGCTGTCGCCCAGGCTTAAGTACAGTGGCACTACCTCGGCTCACTACAACCTCCACCTCCCTGCTTCAAGCTGTTCTCCTGCCTCAGCTTCCCAAGTAGCTGGGATTACAGGCGCCTACCACCACGCCCGTATAATTTTTGTTAGTAAAGACGGGGTTTCGCCATGTTGGCCAGGCTGATTTCGAACTGCTGACGTCATGTGATCCGCCCGCCTAGGCCTCCCAAACTGTTCGGATTACAAGCGTGAGCCACCGCGCCCGGCCTGGATTCTTTAATGGAGTGGAGAAGGTCTGCAATAAGGGGATCCGGTGTAAATAATTCTGAGCAGCCCCAGGTCCTGAGCCCAGCAAACACGTGCTGCGGCCGGGCGCGGGGAGGGCGTGCTTCGCCGAGGAAGATCCCGGGCGGCCCGAACGTGCTCGCGCCCGTCGTTGCCGCTGCGGCGCCGCGGCCGCCCGGGTGCCCAACCGAGCGCACGTGCGCCAGCGGGGCCCGAGCAGAAGGGGAGCCCCTATTCTCACGAAGAAAATGGAGGACGAGCCACGGGTTAGGGGTCAGGAAAGTTGTGGGGCGCATTATGCCCTGGGAGGGGAAAGCAAGAAACAAGAGGCTCTGAGGGGCCGAGAGGAAGGAGGGCGGCCCACGAGCTAGGTAAGGCGGGTCGACCGAGGTCTCGGAAGGAAGGGGGCGGGGCAGGACAGGGCGGAAGGGGCCGCGCAGTAGCTGGGATGAGGACGGTTGGCGAGTTCATTCTGGGCTCGGGGAAGTGTCCGCCCCTGAAGTCAAGCTCGGGAGGGTGAGAGGTGGAAGGGCGGCGACTTAGGTTCCCAGTTTCTGGCACTGCCGGGCCCTCCACGAGCTCAAATCGACCGCAGCCCAGTTCCTTCTCAGAGCTCAAGTGCTTGCCTTTCTTGAGCGCCAAATCCCCGCGCTGGGCCCCGCCCATCCACTGAGGGGTGTGGACAGGGGCGTGGCCCGTTCCCTTGCTGGTAGGCGCCCGGAAGGCGTCCGCGTCAGCCGGAGCTTGACGTGGTGACGCTGTGCGTCGGCGTAAGTGACGCGCAAGCCTGGGCCGCTCCTCCTTCCCTCAGTGAGTGCCGGCCCGGTCGGGGCGGGGGAGAAGAGGGAGGGCGGGGGAGGGAGAGGCGACCCGAGAGTCGTTGTGGGTCGCGGGCCGGACCGGGTCCCGGGGCGGCGGGAGCCCCGGCCGGGCAGAAGGGCTTGGCGGGCCGTTAGAGGGCCGCCACCGCTGTCGAGTCCCCTCCCTTGTTGGACTTGCGCGCCCCGGCGCTTGGAGCCTCCGGCGCTGTGCCCACCCCGCTCCAGCTCGCGTCTCCCGACTCCAATTAGGTCAGGCTCGGAGTCCCGCGGCCGCGACTCCGGCCCCCAACGCGCCGCGGCCGCTCGGCTCGCCTTTCTTCCCTCACCTTCTCTCCTCTTGCTTCACCCTCCCCCTTTCTTTTCACGTTGCTGGGTTTTTTTGTTGTTGTTTTATGCTTTAGGGGTTTTGTTCCTCGGCCCGAGCTCATGGGTGTACATTATCATGCTCTTCTTTTGTAGAGCAGCCCGATGGCCATGGAGGCTGAAGAGACGATGGAATGCCTTCAGGAGTTCCCTGAACATCATAAAATGATCCTGGACCGATTGAATGAACAGCGAGAGCAGGACCGCTTTACTGACATCACCCTAATTGTCGACGGTGGGTAGGGCAGTGGGCAGAGGAGCATTTTTGGCTTCAGTTCTTTTTCTGTCCTTCGGACACCCGCCTTTGTTTTTGTTTTTGTTTTTTTTTTTTTTAAAAAAAACACATTCTCTATGGTCTCCCTACCAAAGCCTGCAGACCAGATTGCACTTGTCAGTGTCCACTCTCACAGAGCGTGCTGCAGAAGACTGGTTGATCAGTCACGCTTTCCACGTAGTCTGGTGTTCATCTCATTTTAACTTCTTACATCCTGTTGAGTGCAAGATGATGGCGTTGGGGACAGGATGTCTCAAAATGTTTGGTTGATAGCCTCTTGTTGGTAAGCTTCTTTGAGAAGTCCCTCACAGGAGTCATTTGGGAAGTGTTGATTTCTAGTTTCCCAAATGGTCTAAAAGGGAGAAGGAGAGAGATTCCTTTGCAGCACTCATACCCCCTTTGACAATCTCCAAAATAAAATAGGGTCTTTACCAATCTTAGAAGTTGTCTCTATAAAAAAAGGAAATCCAGCTTGTGTATGTTTTCTGTTTAGTGAAAATAGGTTTCTCAAGGTAAGCTGTTTTTAAAATTATGGGTCTGCCATAGATGGAGCCTCGAAATATTAGGCATATTAAAATGTTTTTCATAGCAGACATATCCAGCTTTGTGTTTATGGCTTTTTTCTCTTTTTCCAAATGATATGTGACCTTTTAAAGGGTTGTCCTTTTATTTAGCAGTTTCAACTGAGTTGGATATGCCTCTCACTACTTAATTGGAAATAACGAAGTGGCAAGAGGCTCCTTACCTAGTGTTGTAAATTAGCCTTTATAAAACTAAAGGGGTTTGAAGTGAAGTTTTAGCTTCCTATCTAATTGAGATTAACATTTGCCAAGATAGCTGCCAAGAATATTCTGCATTGAGTTCAATAATTTATATGGTTATGTAATGAAGGAAAACCTATTTTTTGTTTTATATGATTTTTCAGTCTTTTATATAGTTATACATTTGATTTTCGTGTTTGTGTATTATTTTCTTTCTTTTTTAATTTTACCTAGGACACCATTTTAAGGCTCACAAGGCTGTTTTGGCTGCTTGTAGTAAGTTCTTCTACAAATTCTTTCAGGAGTTTACCCAAGAACCTTTGGTGGAGATAGAAGGTAAGTGATTGTTTATTTTTTATTTTTTGTTTAATAAATCAAAGAAGCCATTTTATTTAAATACTGGTTTTAAATACAATACTTAGCAAACAATTGGTGAAGCAGTTTTAGACAGTTTATTAAGACACCATAGGAAATAGGTATCAGTAGTTCTATAGGTAAAGGTAGATAAATTGTTCTTTTGATACCTGAGAAGTCTTACTTTCAGTGAAGTGCTTGGTTGAATAATCTGCCAGGAAAAACTTAGATGGTAAGTGTTGGTCTTTTCCATTGTGGAAACTGGTGGTCATTGTCTTTTGAAAACACGTATTAAACGTGAATTACCGTCTTTGTTCAGTGGGTTTATGTTTCAGACCGGTGGAGATGCTGCAGGTTACAGTAGAAACTTCTACTGTACTCTGTAGCAGAAGTAGTGATGTAGTAGCAGAGGTACAGATGACATGCACAGTGTGAAATGGGCTGCCATAATAGGAAGAAAGCTAGTTAAAATGAACTGAAGTAGCGTTCAGAGGAAATTCTGGCTCTACAATGGGGTGGATCAATACCTGTTACCTTGAAGCAAAAAGTGATTTTTGTACTTTCTAAACATTTTTCTAATAACCTGCCAAGTGCCAGGCATTGTAATATGTAGTTTGTGTATTGTCTAATTGCTCACAGCAATCCTTTGATGTTGGGCATGATGGCTTTTGCTTGTAGTCCCAGCTATTTGGGAGGCTGAGGCAGGAGGATTGCTTGAGCCCAGGAATTCAAGGCCAGCCTAGGGCAACATAGACCCTGTCTTTTCTTTCTTTTTTTTTTTTTTTTTTTTTTTAAAGGGAAATGGTGTTACATTTACACTTCAGGAAAGAGACTCTAAAAGGTTACTTGCCCAGGGTTGCCCAACTAGCAAGGAATTAAGTTTGTGCTATTAATTACCATGCTTTTTCTTCTGCTACTGCAGTAACTCTTCTCCTACCACCGGCATCAAAATCCGAAACAGTAGGAAATAAATCTGTTTGCTTACGTAATTACAAAATTTTAGCTTCTTTTAGGGTTCTTGGATTTTGGTTTTGTATCTATTTCATCGTGTATGTATTCTTTGTTTTGAGTGGGTTGCCTAGAAACATGCTTTTTTTCCCTTTGATGCCTAGAGGAATAAAGAAAACAAAAAAGAGTTAAGAATATTCTTTAATTTTGGTATGTTCCAGTTTAGCATTATAGCTGATATATTTGCAGCTAGATTATCTTTTAATATCTATGATCAGGACGGAGATATAATTATGGAAATCCACAAAACTTAATAAAGTGAGAATCTGACTGCCCAGATGATAGTGGTTTCTACTACAAAGTAAGCCTCCATGAGTTCATTCACACCTGAGGCTTATTAAATATGTGAGCTCAGGCAGGTTACTTTACCTCAATTGCATGCTTTTCTCCTCATCTGAAAAGTGGGTTCATAGGCTTGTAAAGACTAATTGTGATAACATGCAGAATGCCTGGCATAATACTTGGTGTATTGTCAAAGTTTAACAAAACAGGGACCGGCCTAGGAAACATTAGGGAGACCGCTTCTCTACAAAAAATTTTAAAAATTATTAGCTGAGTCTGATGGCATATGCCTGTGGTCCCAGCTATTCAGGAGACTGAGGTGGGAGGATTGCTGGGACCCAGGAGGTCAAAGCTGCAGTGAGCCATGATTTTGCCACTGCACTGTAGCCTGGGCGACAGAGCAAGGCCCTGTCTCAAAAAAAAAAAAAAAAAAAAAAAATACCGTATTGAATACTTATATTATGTACTATGTTAGACCCAGGAGCTGAAGAATTAATGAATAAGATATCCCTTAAAGAAGTCGGAAAATTCCATAGCAGGTGAGCAACAGGCAAATAAAGGAGTTTAAAAAGTATTACAAAGACTATTACTGTGAAATGGTATCACTGAAGAGGGAGAATGAATGATTTGATCTTCCTTAGAGAGGAAAGATTTCAAAGAGGAGAGTCTGAGCAGAATTTTTTTTTCCTTTTTTTTTGGAGATGGATTTTAGCTCTTTTTACCCGGGCTGGAGTGCAATGATGTGATCTTGGCTCATCGCGACCTCCACCTCCCAGGTTCCAGCGATTCTCCTGCCTCAGCCTCCCGAGTAGCTGGGATTATAGGCACGTGCCACCACGCCCAGCTAATTTTGTATTTTTAGTAGAGATGGGGTTTCTTCATGTTGGTCAGGCTGGTCTTGAATTCCTCACCTCAGGTGATCCACTCGCCTATTCCTCCCAAAGTGCTGGGATTACAGGCGTGAGCCACCGTGACTGGCCGAGTCTGAGCAGAAATTTTAAGTCTTAAAAAACAAGTGGCCTAGCCGGGTGCGGTGGCTCACACCTGTAATCCCATCACTTTGGGAGGCCGAGGGTGGGCAGATCACCTGAGGTCAAGAGTTGGAGACCAGCCTGACCAACGTGGTGAAACCCCGTCTCCACTAAAAATATACAATTAGCCGGGCGTGGTGGCGGGCACTTGTAATCCCAACTACTCAGGAAGGCTGAGGCAGGAGAATCGCTTGAACCTGGGAGACAAAGGTTGCGGTGAGCCAAGATCACGCCATTGCACTCCAGCCTGGGCAACAAGAGTGAAACTCCGTCTCAAAAAAAAAAAAGAAAAAGTGGCCTAAGCTGGAATATTTGTTGCTGGTAGAATGAGCACACACTACCTGGAGGAGTAGAAGTAGAGCCTAGTCTTCTGAAGATTAGTCACCTTGAGATTTGGGTCCGTGGGGTCTTCAGTATTTGAACTCGAGATAGATAAGAAAGCAAAATAGACACTCTTTTGTTTCTGTCATTTGGTCAGATTCAGGTTTAAATAATTAATTTGGTTCAGTATCTTAAGCCCTTAACTTTGGGGTTACTGTACTGTCTAGGAAGGTCACCTGGCTGTGGAGAAAGCCCTGGGCATATAGTTAGAAAACTGAGTTTTAGCCCTGTTTTAACTGTTTGTGTGTTGTGTGACGTTAGACATCTTGGATTCCTTATTTTTCATATATCACATAATTTTGGAGTATGTCATGGACATTTGAATATTTTGTTACAAGACTAGATGCTGTTAAAATTCTCTGGAAAAATATTTTTAGTTTTTTGGTTTTGCTTTAGCGGGCAGTTAACCTGGTTAGGTTCAGACTGCCTCTGTGGGCTGCGGATCCAATTTGAACTTAGTTTTCAAAACCTTTGTATTGCCGTTCAGGTCCCAGGTGTGCCATCCGTGCCATTGTGCAGTTCTCAAACCCTTTGCTCTGCAGTCTTGGGTCAGTTCCACACATGGGCATCTTGGTGGTAAACTTGAGATTGTATACACAAATGTGGAGGACTTTTCTCCTTTCCATGATATCCCTTGTACACAAGCTCCCAAGAGTTTATTTTCGTGGTTCTTTAGTGAGAAAACTGGGATTTTAGCTTCTTCGTGCGCTCATATGTTTTCTGTGGAGGGGCTCATTTCCTGGACAAAATGGAGAGAGAGAAAAGTTAAGAGAAAAAAATAAAATGAATTCCCTCCTCCATACTCTTCAGATCATCATCTTTTTCCTAGTTCTTTTGTCAGAAGAACTTTCTTTAAGAGTTTAGGAGACCACTACCAGCCACAGGTGTGCAGACTCAGAATTGGAACTTGCTTTGAGGCAGAGCTGAGAGAGAAGAAAAATTACCAGGTATCCACCCCTCCCCATTGTCCCTCTCCCATTCATCGTCTTTTCTGGTTCTCTATCCAGAAGGAGTTTCTCTTGAAACTTTTCTCTGTCTCCACTCACTGCACAGTTAGATTTGGGCTGTCCTCAAGTCTAAGCTGACATTTGTGGGAGGAAAAAAACAGGAAACTCACTACTGTTTGAGTTTTGATTTCTCTTCCCAGTCTGCTTGCTTCAACTTACTTTTCAGCGTCCTTGTATGTTTGCTTTATGTGTTCTTTCCAGGATTTTTAGTTGTGATCAACAGACAAGATAGGGTGGAGTGTGCATTCTCCATCTTAGCTAGAACTGGGACCCACCCCATCCCCCACTCATAAAATATAAATAATGACTTATAGCATGGCATATTAGATGGGCATTAGAGACACCAGGGAAGCTATCACAAATACAAATGTCCAGGTTGCATTTCCAGATAATTAAGTCTTTCAGTAGTGGGATCCAGGCAACTATATTTAAAAGTTCTCTAGGTTCTTGCTATGTGGGTTGTGGTCTGAGGACCACATACATGGGGATCATTAGGAAACTTGTTAGAAATGTAGACTCAAGTTCCACTCCAGACCTGCTGAATTGGAAAAAGGTCTCCAGATGATGCCTATGCACAGTAAAATTTGAGGAGCGCTGCCCTAGCATGCTTCTAGTGTGCAGTCAATGTCGAGGACCACTGTCTTAGAGGATTGCATAAAAGCAGATGACGTGTATAAATTAAGATTGTAATATTCTCTATGAGTATAAACTCATTAGGTGCAAGCTGAGCTCACCCTCCCTGTTTTCTGTGTTCCTGGTTAAAGTAAGTTACCTTTGATTAGAACCACAGGTTCATCTTTGACTTCAATTCAGATTTGTTGCTATTGAAGCTAATTGGATCCCAGCTCACCTTTGTGACTTGGATTCACACCATACAAAATCTTCAACAGACCTTCATTCCTTTGTTCAGAACACACAACCTTCTAACCTGAACCTCCAATTTTCTAAATTCATTCTTTTTCTACTTCACCTGAAACCACAGATCCATAGCACTTAGTTTCTCTGTAACAGCAACTCTAACATAGTGTCCAGAAATTTTAGCCCCTACTATCAAGGACAAAAAGCATCCTTGTACGTGTTTGTACATCTTTTTGAGTAGGAGTTTTCCACCAGTTGCAGGGATTCCCTGAGTCTAGAGTAATGCCAGAATGCTGCCCCCTTTTACTCCGTTCTAAGCATTGCTGGCAGGGAGAAGACTCAGATTAAATTGTTCACTTCAACATTTTCCTTAGATACTCTCTTAGAAAAATTGTATTCTGCACACTTCTGTTAT